TTCAAGGTGTTCAAGACCTTTCAAGACCTTCCTGAGATGCCAGCTTCTCCTCTTTTTTTGACTTTGCCTATTTCAAAGCGCTGATAACCATTTACAGTATGTCAGGAGCTTCATTTTTGTCTTTATTAAGTGTACAAGACACTTTTGAATGCTTTGCATGTTTCTACTGAGCACTTCATGCTTGTGGCAAATTTTAATAAAACATATTGGGAAACTTGCTGCATTTGCTTTCTTCATTGGAAATCTTCAGTTGATGTTCTGCAGAGTTATGTACGCAGTGGATAGTCTGATCTTGGCCATGGCATCAAGTCAAGATCTTAATCTAAACATGTAGTGCATTAAAAATACAATAGAAACAAAGTTCCTCCAAAGAGATCTAGCTAATTTGAAACACGGAGTTTATAATCAAGCATGTCTAATATGCTAAAATAAAACATAATAACCTCAAACTGAGGTTGAACTGAACAAAAACATGGATTATAAATCTATCAAATAATTCTTTAAGCAATACGTCATCAGATTTTTGGGGAAATAACTGCTGAAGACAGCTTCACCATGTCCTTATTTTGCTATCAATAATATTGCTTATTTAAGTCCATAACTTCAACTAGCATTTTGGGATATAAAAAACTATATTAGGTATGTTAAAGATTTAGCATTTTTCAACCTTCTCCCTCTGAATAACAACTTATATCACACACTGCTTTGGAGAATCCAAGCAGCTTAAAATATTATGTATGTTTATGTTAAGTAGATTTATGTATGTACATGTTCCATTTCAAATCCTATCTCTTACCTTCAGCAAGTCTTTTAATAAAACAACCCATTATTTAAATATAAAATTACAAACTTATAAACAGTTTCAGCTTACAATTTCATCAAGCATGAAAGAACCTCAAGGAAGACACTCTGAAGTCAGAGTTTTTAATCTGGCTAAGGATGTTTGTTGTTCTAACTTCATTCCAATAGGTCATTTTGTTTGTAGGAGCTTGGAATTACACTACACTACGGTTGGGATACAACCTTCTCTTGTTTATTTAATATTTATTCTTGTCCTATCATCTGTGATTAAGTTGTGTTTATTTTATCTATTCATGTGATCAGGGGACTAGAAGATTTCCAAGATCCCTTCCAACTCTGTTATACTGTTAAATTCATTTTGCAAAATGTTAGAGAGACCTTACTTTGAAATTCTACCCTTTGAGCTCTTTTCATTAGGTTTAGTGAAAGAAATAGAGATCTTCCTTACAAAACAGAGGAAAATAAAGAAATGTTTTATCCTCTATTGTTCTAATAAAGCTATATTGGACCAGACCACACAATTTTAGGTCAATAACACTTGCTGTATCTCATATGCGATTTCTGTTATCTTTTAAATGTTTCTGTATTTCAAAGAATTACACAAAGTAATTATTTGAAATATTTCAATCCTTGTTCGGTCTTTTACACACTCACTGGAACTTGATCTTCAGCTGTACCTAAATTTTAATCCACTTTTCAACAAAATGAGTAATTCTGCATGGAGGGATAGCTTTCAATAGCTCTATTTATCCCTCCATGTCTCAAAAAGTATTCTCTCTCTTTAATGAACAAAAAGTCAGTATAATGAATTTTCAAGTGCACTGAGGAAGAAACAATTAATAGCTCTGATTATGATCTATGACATTTTGGCTTTGGAGTATTAATATATTGCACAACTGTGGATTTTTCCTTGTTTCAGAAAATCAAATCATAAAACACAGGAAAGAGAGGGGAAGTCTGTTGCATACAACTCCAAAATAGACGTCATTCTCTTTCTTCATTGCACTCAGCTAGAATATTGAACTATGGTCTGTTAGAAGCCAATTTTTCATCATGTATGTCAACTCATACAATACAAGGAGAAATGGAACAAGATGGCGGTTACAGTGGCAAGATGCAAATTTATTTGGGCAAAAGTAATAGATGCACAATATCAAGCATGCTCAGGTTTGTGCCAAGAAAACGGTTACGGATGAGAAATGGATGGGATGAGCTTTCGCATCATACATGATTATGTTTCTCTGACCTTCATTTTTAAAAAGTCCTTTTGTTCTAGGCATGGTTTCTTAGCTGCTGCTATGAAAGAATACAGACCACACTGCTGGAGTAAACATACCCAGGCCCAAACAACAACACACATCGCAGCAGCTGTCTCCCGAGAACACTATATTCCTTTTGGAAAAAAAGAAAAATAGTAAAAAGAATTAGATTGGGGGTTAGGATAGTGACAGAGACAATGTAACTGCAAGCACCTATTTGGAAAGGAAGGAAACATTTTATTATATTTTTAAGTAAAATGGTTTGTGCTTCCTACTTCATTTTACTCAATGTTTGGCTTGTTGTTTTTTAAAGCAAATGAATAATGTTGCCACTGTTGATTTTTTAATGAGTTTTTTTCTCCTGCATCCCTGCCTGAAGCCAAAAAGAAGTTGAGCTGATTTCTCCCCCTAAAAATGCAACTGAAAAGGGGTGGCTGGGGATGGGGTGGGAGACAGACGGGGGGCGGGGTGGAGAATACATTTTTGACTGATATTTTCTGCAGTAGAACAGTATGAGGCAAAACAGGATCCCACTGAGAAGAATCAACATCTCTTTTTAATGTTATTTTAATTGGGGGATGTGAACAGAACACACTACTGTGTTGAGATAGCGGTAGAAACAAAAGGAAGAAAAAATATGAATGTTTAATTCATGGGAAAAAATAAAACGATGCCATGAATGCCACAAAAATGGATGTTGCTGAATGGCCTTTGTACAGCAGAGGTAGATCAAGGTATATAACAAACTGTTTACTGACCATTTACATGTTAAGATCAGGAAAAAAAAGTGGTCAGTTGAACAAGAGCTCTCCTAAGGGTTTTCTCACACGAGTCTCACTTAAGCCCTCTAGCGCTGTGGCTCTGTACAGATTTCACTGTATGGATTTTGTAAGAGATCAGATTTTCTTTAAAATTTACATTCTGTCATTGAATAAAGATTTCCCTTTCCCACCCTACCTATTTTAAGTGCATTCTCACAATGTGAATCAGAAAATGGAGTCATCCAGGGAGGAAACCCGCACCCCAAAACGCATGGTGCTTTATGGCATGTAGGTACCTACGGGTGCATGTAGATACCTACGGGTGTACACATGCAGTGGAAAGGAGGAAAAACGTAAGGAAAGAAACTGAAGCTGAAGAATTCTGCATTTACGTGCTGTTTTGTTTTGTTTTGTATTTGCACAGGTCATTTTAAGATCCTCATTCTCAGTCATAGCAAAACACTATCAAAACAAGAAGTCTTGCAAAATAGTTCAGATTATACATCTTAACAAATGCATTAGTTTAATCTGCGAAAGCAGTAGGGTTGTGTCTCTAGGTTGACTTTTTTTTCCAGAACTTCACAAATCATAAAATATGAATAAAAATGCATATCAACACTGCAGTGAGGAACAGAAACATTTCTTGAAATGGGCAAGGAATTATTTTTTTTATGCAAGAAGTAAGAGAATATTTTCTATCTTTTTTCCTTCATCTCTCAGCTACACAGCAAAAAGCTCTAAAGTGCACTTTCCAAGTGTAGTTGGAGAACAGGAAGGAATGAAAAGTTTTTGTTTTGTTTTGTTTTGTTTTTTTTAAAAAAACAGCCCTTATTAACTTTTCCTTCCATTTATTCCAGTGTAAACTCTAAAAAGCCATTTTAAAAAGCAAGATCCCATCTACTTAGCAGGTGATATGGTCCTATAAAAAGAGCAATGAAAAAGGCAATTGGATCATCCTCTCCCATCAACCCCTCACAATACTTGACTACTCATAGCCCAGCATCTTAAATTTTATTGCACTCGTGAAAATATCCTTTAAAAAGAAAAAAATGTAATTTTTTTTCCAGCTGCACTAACTTAATTTGATCTCCTCCCCACCCTACCTTACTTCCAAATATTTAATAGTAGCCTTGAGGGGCAGAAACTATTTTGCAGACTGTGGGAACCATATCAGCGTAACACACACGGTGCATTCATTTTAAAATGGTCATCTGGTTGGCTGGGCAAGTGATTCCTCAAGAGATGCACCCCAATATTTATGTTTGGAGTAGATACACTCACATGCCATGACCATATTACCTATGCTTGAAAGGACACTTGTGTTCTTCACAGCCTTTGTGATATCTCTAGATATCCTCAGGAACAAATGTGGGTAGAAACATTTTTTTTCTCTTTTTTTTTCATAAACCTGTTGGTTTTTATAGATGGTATTTCCATGTGGTACAGAGGTAATAACAGAGGAATAAAAACACTGTAATTCACAATGAATGCCAAACCTTTCCCACCAGTGTGTAGGTCTCCCTCCCATCACTTTGCTGATCTCTTGGCTTGGCTTCACACATGGTGCTCTAAATCAGGCCACTCCTGTTCAACTGACCAGTGAGAAAGGACTAGACTTTTTGAAAATGGGCCTTGGAGCAACAGTTTGTTATAGATTTCTTTATATTCAGGTTTCATTGTCAGATCCCACTTTCAAGGAAAGTATCCATTAATTGTGCTCTCCTCCTCGCCCCTTCCTTACTTTGGGTTTCTCCAGTCAGATGACTTGTGTAACAGTGGCAGAGGTGCATTGGACTGCACACCCATTCATTGTGATTACACCGAAGGAAAGCAAGCAGGAATGGTTTGCTCTGGGGCATTGAAGCAGGGGAAAATATAATAGGAAAAAGAGAACCGGTTTTGTGGAGAGGAGGGCTGGGAGGGGTGGGCTGGTTTTCACTGTTTTGTTTTTAAAAAAATCTTTTGCCATGGAACCACAGCAGTTCTTTCTTCTAATAGAAACTGACAAGACATAAAAGACCAAACTATTGGATGAGCACACACAATGACTAGAAATAGATAAGACAGTGAAAAGACTTAGTTTAGCTCTGAGAAACTGTCTGAAAAATAAAATCCTGTATTAACAAGTGCAAAACAAACCAAAAAAAGAAACTCCAAACATTAAAACACAGTGTATAAAATGGTGTGAGAAATTTAAGTCACCAGACAGCCTTTTAGTCAATAAAAAGCTGTATAGGATGTGTCCTTGTTTGGATAGTGGCCCATTGGTTGAGTTTTACCCAGAAGGCTTTTGGAGGAGTGAACAGAGGGCAAAAAGGTCCAGTCTTTTGGGTCTGACTGGATGCGCCTGTAGGAGGAGATGGATCAGGTCTCTTATTCCTCATTGGTGGAATTATCTTCAAAATTTGTTATGCCTCCAAAGCCCAGTTCTGTTGAATTCTGTGCTGCTGAGACAATGAGTACTGTATGTAAGAGAATTAATACAAGAACACACAGTTTGAGTCTGCTGTTACACAGTCTTGATGCTGATGAAACTGTGAGCGATGTCCGGTGACACATCATTGAGTCACTTGTTTTTATAGTCCCTTTGGATTGGTTATCGGATAAGAGTCCCCATCTGACATCACAGCATTCTGGTTCTGCATTGGTTGGGTAATTGTCATAGAGCCCTGCGGGAGAGAAAAAGAACAACATATGAATAGTCTTTTAAAAAGAAAAGAAAGATGGTAAGGAATAGACCCATATAACTTGCCCAGTGGTCAAATATAATGTATAAATATTTAGAATCTATGGTTGATTACATTATTACTCTTGTGTCAGAAGTCATTCCAGACCACCTAAGTGGAAAAGTAACATATATTAATATATTATTAATAACATATATTATTAATAACAACCATTCATTATGAAATATTTAACAAAAGCTACTCTGAACAAATTTACCAGAGAATTTAGTTCTATACTAAGTATAATTTATCAATTAGTTTTTTCCCATAAATTTGGGACTTACAATATACTGTATATGTCTTAGTTTTCAAACTATTATAGAAGGTTTTCAGATAAATCAACATTCAGCTGTATCTAAAATATACCTGAAGTGTCATGTAACTCCACTTCCAAATATCTCATCATCAGTTAATTTATCAATCATTCTCCACAGAGTTTGCCTCCCTTAACTAATAGCAGTGACTTCCAGCTCTTGCAGCCAAATTTCCCTATAATAGCCTTTCTAAAAAAAAAATATTCACATATTCCCAGCCTTTTGGTGGTCATCTAAGATGTCATCTTTCAGAGATCCTGGACCACAACTCCCCAAATTGCCAATCAAAAATTATTAGTTTCTTCCTAGCATTTTCCCACAAGTAGAGGTCCACATTTTTGGATCATCTAAGGACTGATACATTGGTTGCAACGGGAATTGACCAACTGGCTTGTAACCTGAGCCTTAATGAAAAGAAGAAATTTATAAATATCCTCCCAACCATAAATATCTAATGAAATTTAGGCATTTGGAACAACTTAAGAGTGAAATCAGATTTAAAAAATGGTCTTCAAACATGCTCCTCAATTCTATAATTTTTACAATTTCCTTTCTCGACTCACCATACTATTACAAAACAACTTTAAATACCTTCACTTTGAAGTATTTTATTGTTTGGTGAGTCACAGATTCATATTAGAGGCCCTTGTGTAACAGTCAGTCCTGATTACTTTACTTAGGAATTATAGAGGTGAAAAACCTTCACTTCCAACTTGAATGCTTTTCATTCACAACTCAAATCTAATTGTTATGCATGAAATGTTTGCTGTTCTCCACTAGATGTCCCCAGTCGCCTGATCTAAACTACAAAATACTGTATATCTACAATGACCCATGCAATAGTTCCCAGAATTTAAAGCATAAACATGCTTTGTACGTTTTTTATAAGTAGAATAATGCTGATTGGCTCCAAGGAACATGTGACACCTGTGCTTTGTTGTTTGCTGTCTAAATTCAGAAAGCAGCTTTAAATTAAGTCAAGATTCTGCAACATTTCTCAGGATAGAGGCTGTGATTTGATACTTCTTTGCTTGCTGACCCTTCTTCTTTTGGGGGGAGGAGGAGGGATTCTTTAGTCTAGAGGCTCCAAATAAATAGAATCAAGAATGTCCAGGTCACCTTCCTCATTGATTACTTTCACCAGCTGAATGATGAATTCATTAACAATGCAGAGAAACAGTTAAGACTACCACATCTTAGATGACCCCCAAAAGGAAGGAAGGAAGAAGTCTCTGTATTGCCTTGCAGCTAGGCAGTGGTCAAATCAGACTGGAAGCCAACACAGAACTGATGCAGTTCAATCTTTGTAGGACTGAAGAACTGTACAATACTTCCAGTTTGGCAGAAGAGTTTCTGCTTGGAAGACGCTGCTAAGGAGAAGAATTTTGAGAAGACTCAAAGATTCCTTCAAGTTTTCATTTTTACAAAATACACAGAAATTAATGTAGTCTGGATGACATCTAATATTTTCCCAGTTTTTGTTATCCTGGTTACTATAGCTAAAGACCTGCGATAGGTTCAGAAACCCATCATGGTACAATAACATTATCATCTCGGGTACTGTCATGCCCCTGTCGGAGTCTGAATGGAGGAGGAAGACGAACAGCTGACAGGGACTGGGAGTGTGACTCTGTTGCCTGTGGAGGAAACTGGGGAAGGGCAAAGTCCAGCTGGGCAGAGCATGGGAGAGATAGAACAAGGGAGAAGAAGTTCAGAGGAAAACCTAGGCCCACCCCCTCTTCATCCTAGGGCATGCAGGAGGGAATGGAGAAGAGAGCAACATGGATTGCATGGCTTACGGGGAAGGAAAAGGCCCTGATTCCCTTCATTAGCCACACCTGGGAATGAGATTTTAAAAGAAATGCATGCTGACTGTGGTAGTTGCAGGGAGCAAATGTGAGTTTATCTTGTGTTGACTTTAGTTATCTGTGTTCCTGGCATCTTCCCAGCCATGTGGAATTATTGCCATGCTTTCCCGTCTGGAATTCTTGCTCCTGCCCTGTCGAACTAATTACCTCAGTTTGTTTTGATTGGACTTATAGTTACAATTTCAATTTTTGTTGACCATGTTTTGGACTCTATTCTCTGCAGCCAACGGCTGTTCCTGGCAGAGTTTTTCTCCAGCCAGAAGGCAATCAGGATATTAGGGGCAAAGTTGGAGCTAATAAAGGGACTCCTACTGATTGACTGACTGTGTTGCCTTTGTGCCACGCCCCAGTTAATCACAGGTACAATCCTACAATCTACAGTTTAGCAATCCAAGTGGTTATTGAGAATTTTTGAATGATCTCTGAAGGCCAATGACTTTTTATTTAGAGAATTGGCTTGCTCTTTTAGTTAGGCTATCTCCCTGATAAAAGACAATTCCATCTAAATAACTTTTAATATCAAGGATTGTTTATTTCAATAATGCAAAACAGTAGATAACTTTTGGTCCACATACATTAAACTCTCTATTGCAAACTTTTTGTCTGTATGTTTAAGACCCAACATTAAAATACAATATTATTTTAAATAATTAAAGCAGAGTTTTAATGCTCAAATTCATGGCATTCATAACCATCCTATTAGGGATTTGCTATATGAGAAATAAATGGTAATAGGGGAGAAAGATTACATTTTGAAACAGCAAGTGCAATTTCTTGTCTTTAGGATTTTGCCTATTCCAAATACCAAGCAGGGCATTACAGCAATCTGAGGCTTGTTTGAGATATTTTGTTGTTCTAATGAGCCATGTGGCACAGTGGTTAGAGTGCAATACTGCAGGCTACTTCTGCTGCCTGTCAGCTGCTTGCAATTTGGCAGTTCAAATCTCTCCAGCCTCAACATTGACTCAGCTTTCCATCTTTCCGAGGTGGGTAAAATGAGGACCTAAATTTTGGGGGGCAATATGCTGACTCTGTAAACCGCTTAGAGGTGGCTGTAAAGCAATGTAAAGTGGTATATAACTCTAAGTGCTACTGTTATTGCTAATCCTGTAGAAATTCAGAAAAGGTAAATAGCTCACTAGCCATTTGGAGCTCAAGTTCGTGTTTTAGAGTCTTTCACAAATTGGAACCATTGGAGACAATGGTATCTGGGACAATAAAGTAGTAGTATAATCTGGACAATGTTTTGAGTTATATGTATTTCTACCTTCTGATATTATCAACAGAGAAGCTGCTGTGCTGTTCAAAGACACTAGTGTGAACAATATCAAGAAAAATGGCATTCCTGATAAAGAATCACCCATGTTCTGATAATGAAATTTGCCTTCAATCAAGCTATATGATTTGTGAGTTGGGATTATGAATTAGTACAAAAAGAACATCTTTGAGGTTTCACAGACTGCAAATGCATAATTCCTTTTTTATTTATGGATTTCTACCCTTTCTTTGACTTTGCATTATTTTACAATATCTGTCAACCCGGAAATGTATTGATTGACTAGGATTTTTATTAGTTTAATACTACTAATAAACATGTATATGTGTTAGTATGGGTTATTTAATAAAATTATTCTGCTAAAAATCAACCATTTTTCATTTAACACCTAGGCCAGCATTTTCCAAAGGGTATTTTCCAGATGCATTAGGTGATATCCCCATCTCCTAAGCCAGGGCTCTTCCAACTTGACAGCTTTAAGACTTGTGGACTTCAACTCCCAGAATTCCTCCTCTAGTCATGTTAGGTCAGGAATTCTGGGAGTTGAAGTCCACAAGTCTTAAACTTGCCAAGTTTGAAGACCCTTGTCCTAAGCCATCCAAGTATTATAGTATTGGGGATCATGGAATTTATAGATGGCATTAGATTTGAAGAACTGAAAAAGCTTCTTGGATGAGAAGTGAAACATCATCAAATAAAAACCAGAAAGTGCAGTTGCCTCGTGAAAAAGCACTTTTGGGACCACCCATGATCCTGAAAAGCTCCATAGACATTTATATTTGAAGAGGTTAAGCTAACATTGCTAGTCAAAGTACAGTCTTTCTGTCTGTCTCATATCTTTATCTGTTCAGTTGCCTGGTCAGCAAACCACAATAATGCCAAAATTTGACGTGTTTGTGTAATGAGTATAACATAATCACAAAAAAATCTGTGAATATTTACTTGTGTCAGGACATATGATACAAATTCTAAGTTGTGGAAAATGTGTGATTGAAAATCAGTACACCTCAGTTAGCATTGACTCCCTTGTCCCTCTGTTGATGGGCCTAGATTTCTGAGCATTTGTATGAGATTCCCTTGAATTGACTAACATTACTAGCTTTAATCTTCTTGCTTCCCCAGGCAGACTAGAAGGAAGAAGCAGGATGTCCAGGCCACAAAATGTTTAATAGTTCTGTTAATTCCAAAAGAGTTTTATGAAGACACAGAAACACAGTATTAGCATATAAATTTGTCTTCTCAAAAAAATCCCAGTAGATCTTTAAAAGGGAAGAATTTATTCACACTGTATATTCCTATTTAATTTGTCATGATATTGTAGGCATATATCAAAGTTAATAGCCATGTCAAAAGCAAGAATGAGAATGGATGCTCCATATTCAATAATTATTCTCTCAGAAGTATTAAAAAAACGTAGAATTTCTGTTGTCCATTTTCATGTGTGTGCATGTTCTAGTTAGTTTAGCTCTTGGTGACTGCTTGGACTAGCCCCTGCAGCTTTCTTGCCAAAGTTTTTCGGAAGTGATTTGCCATTATCTTCTTCCTAGGGCTGAGAAAGACTGGCCCAAGGTCATCCAGCTGGCTTTATGCCTAATATGAGACTAAAACTCAGTATCTGATTTCTAGCTTGATGCCTTAACCACTGCACCAAGAAGCTTCATATTTTAGTACACTCATTGTTCTTTCAATATTTCAGTTTGTTGACACATTTACAAGCTCTGGGGATGTAGTCAGACCAGGTACACAGTATGCAATTTAGGATGGAAGAAATGCAATAAAAGATTCACACAGGAAGTATTTTCTGTAGAACTGCCTGGTATTTTTAAGCTACATTTACAAGCAGAGGTAATTCTAGCATCGGTTGCACAGAAGATGCAACCAACCAAGCATGGTGATATTCCAAAGATATCTCTTTTTTTTTTTAAGTTAATCATACTTTTTCATTCTGGACATTGAGTTTCACATCTTAGCCTCCATCAACAGCAGAGGAAGTTTCATTTTAACAAGCCTTTAAAAATATTGTCCAAGCTGAGGGTTTTTGTATAAGTAACATAAATAGGAAGTGCTTGAAAACATGAAGTGGAATTATCTTCCAGAACTGATACAAAAAGAGAACAAATAAAGTGAATTGGTATGTAAGGCCGATGAGTCATGCCTAAGTAGACATGAGGAGGAGGGAAAGCGGGAAAGAGAGAAGGCAACAGTGAACGCTCTTGGGGATTACAGAGCAACAATCATCATTCTTGTGGGATATATAATAGAGAAGGAAGTCTTGAGTGGAAAGCGGAAGGGAATTCTTAATTATATGTGGGTCTCAGGTTTCAGAAAATGCCTCCAAAAGGGGTGTTAAAAACAGCTACTGAAATCTGCCATACCTGTACAGATGAAACTGGATAATCCTCCATAGATGACATCATCATTGTCTGGTAATATAAATGGACACCTTGTCTGAACCTCCAAACAGTATTGCTTGCAAGGAATTGTGTTGTTGCAATGAGACTGTGTGACTTCAAAATACTGGGAACAGAGCCAGGCTTTGTAGACAGTCTAAAGGAGAAGAAAAAGAAAGACAGGAAGGAAAGCAAAGAATCAGATTAATTGACAAGACAAAGCAGCACCAGTAGAATCCTTCTTATCATTCTGTTCTTATATATCACACTTTAAAAGCTTTTCAGTAAAATAAGGCAAGAATCCTTTGGATAACACACCACATTCTCCCTTTTCCAGAAAGTGATATTCTGTGCCTTCTATTATGACTTAGTCTGCCTTTGGCTTATTAATTCCAAGACTTAGAATGTAACATGCAGAGCACTCATTCATATTCTGTCCTCATGGAAAGGAGATCAGTGGCATTTTATAATACTTGCACTTTCTACCAATATACTGGCTCAGTATAAATGAAGCAGAGCCTACCCGCATTCCAACAGCCAAAAACTGCTGGTTCATATCAGGATACTGAGAGATGCTTATACTGCCCCAGACCAAGCTTGCAGTGAGTGCTTTTATTGTGGAATTCCTTCGTTGACAGCATTTTACCGAGAAGCCAAGTTAAACCTAGCTTTCCATCTATAACCTTCTTGTGTTTTTTTCTGTCAGGCTCTTTAGGCTCTTTTCTTACCACCAAAAAATCCATTTTGAAGGAAAAGATTGTGCAATGCCTTGCGATTGATAGCCCTGCCTTCATCGGTGTCAAATTCAAATTGCAATGTCTTTTGTTTCCTTCACAGGGATCTGAATTAACTGTGTTCCTTTTTGCTACCTCTTCCCTGTGGTTGATGTTATAATTCAGAGTTCTATTTCCAGGTATTTCTCAGCCACATCAAAAAGTAACTATTAAGAGACATCAGCTAACCCTCCAAACAAATTGCAACTTTTACCAATTTACCAAAATTATTAAAATGATTTGCATCAATAAAGTGGACTAGCATAGGCTCTCTCTATCATCATGCTAATTCATTTTCTAACAGTAATAACTACCTTGATTAAAAAGCCCTTAATCAGAAAATAATATGTCCATGGGACCAATGCAGTTTGTAGCATACTCCTCCTTTATATCGCATTAGTAGTTGCAACGAAGAAACGTTGCTGCTAGGTTTTCATGGTTTAATCCAACCTTAATCTAAGAGCAGCCAAAGATTTCTGAAAGACAAATCCTTAGAACTATATTTACTGGCAACCAAGCTGTGGTTGACCCTCTTCCCCAGATTTCTAGGCACTAGAAATTCTGGGGAATGTACTTCTTAAGACACTTCATGTATTCCAAGGGATTTGGGCAATTAGTATCCTGCCAGTAGGATGTAGAAGATTCCAAAAAAGGTTCTGAATTTGATTGCCAAATGATCTGATGGTAGTGGGGGAGGGATTATTTCCAGCAAACATATTTCAATCCAGACCAGCCTTTCAGAAGACCCACCTTTCCACTACTCTTTATCCGATTTAAGAGGGCTGTAAATCAAGCTGCCTTAAAATGTGGTATCCATAGTGGCGCTAATTAGGAAATATCTGAGTGGAAAGTAAAGAAATAAAGCAGCTAGGATTTTATATAGCAGAGAAGAAAAGTTCCACTGGCTGCCTTCTGGTGCCTCTTATAAATCCTAGTTGTTTAGACATCCATCTTTTCTGCCCTTTTATCTTGCAGATAATTCCTTGAATGAGTAGATCCAAAGTTCACAATCTACCAAGGAGCATGGAAAAATATGTAAACCTTAAAGATTTGTTAAATATCATTGACCGGCAAAACAGTTACCTCTGCCTGCAATAGTTTTACTGTGTAAAGTTAAGTCACAGATATTCACAGAAGGTGGTGCTAGTTACCTGCTAGTAAGATCTAGGCTAGGCTAGGCTAAAACAGTTAAAAGGAATAGAGCGCAGGTCTTTAGATCTCCTACATAAGCATACAATATTTTAATTACTGGAGCATCCAAATCAAATATGGTTATAAACAGTTATTTATAAACATGGCATTACGTTTCATATCCAAGATTCTAATTCCCAATATTTCAAGTCATAGCATTTATATAGATCTGTTCTTTAATAACTAATTTGTATATATTGATTGTGATGAAGAAATTCATTGTGTTTGCATTGATTAAAGGTTTAGAGTGTCCTACACTCTGATTGTGGCCCTATCCAAGTGTTATAGTCCTCCACATGCCTATGGATACAAGGTGAATTGGTGGTGGGAGATGAATTTTCTGTAAAGTTCACAGTGTACCAGACTTAAGGCTGTATCTTTTTGCCTTCAGTGTAAAAATCTGAGAGAATCCTTTTTGTTCAGTTAATATACTTACAACATTCCTGCCACTACCTTTTTATTCCAATGTCCTTGTATACAAATCCAGAGCTATATGTCTGTGTGACAGCCTAAAAATCCTTGCATAATATGATGACTTTCCATATTTTGTTAAATTCTGTCTCATCCATGAAGGTTGCTCACTAACATGTGTTGGCTTTTCTGTGTGCTGCACCTGTCTATAGAAGCCATATGAAAAGTCAAGAGCCATTAAAAGACCGTATCAAGCAATGGATTGTGATTTGCTCTTATATTTTATATTTAGAAAAGCTGCTGTAAGTTTGTTTCTATTTTAAATGGCAGAACATAAAGAATTAAATAAATGGGAACTTTGTCTAACAAAAGATAAAGCACAGCTGTAAATGTAAAAAAAGGTAGATTTTAATTAAAAGATGAAATAGTTCACCTTCCCAAAAAGTAGAATAAGGCCTCTTTAAACAGTGTCTGGAAAAAAATAACTTCTTTCCTAGCATGCTAATAACACCAATTTCAGCATTTTTCTAGGCAAGTTTCTTCGACCACAAATTATAAAAGAACAATTATAAAACACGTTTTTCTCCTTTTAGTTGTGGCTTTTCTCAATCAGATGAGGAGACAAAAAAAAAGTAAAGACTTCAAATTCAGTTGCGTGAAATTTTCAGGAGAATTTCCTAGAAACTCTGCCATTTAAATGTATTTTATTTTTTACATTTTCTAGTTTTCTGTCAGTTAATTTATAGAGCTATCCTCTGTTTATTTATAGTGGCAACAGATAGTAACAAAGTTGCTAGGCAACCATTAAAAAAACAATATTCCTAAACTGTGATTTCTGACTACTTTCCCTTGGATTTTAAGTCATTATATTTTGAAGGGAAAATATAACCACTAGAAGTATTTGCTTAATGAAAAATTATATGTTGCTATTATTTTTAATAATTTACGTGTAAAAGTGAAAGTTCCACTGCTTCATTTTCAGAATAATCTTTTTTTTTTATTTTACAGGGTCCAAAACATGAGTTTTATCATCCTTTTGATTTTTCAATGCTTTCAAACTTATTTCTTGTTTTATCTTCTAGATAAAATACAAATATGAAATAGAATGTTCATGTTAAATTGGATTCCACCCTAGCAAAAAGCTTGAGCAAGCAAAGCAAAACACTAAATGATTTAGAAATCCCTCAGCCAAATAGGTGGTGGTGCGAATTCCACAGCTGCCATTTTCTCAATGTTGGATTTCTTTACTTGTTTTATTTTTAATATATGAAATTCTTACAGAAATGTATTGTCATTGCTGAGCACATACCACTTATTTCAGTGTCGTCTAAAGAAAAACTGGATTTCCTTAATGTACCTGGTAATTTCATTGTGAGAAGATAATTCTCTTAATTGTGATATTATTACTTGTGTGTTGTCACTTTGCTACACTTAGAATAACAAGAGTTGGAAGGGGCCTTGGAGGTCATCTAGTCCAACCCCCTGATCGAGTAGGAGAATCTACTCCAAATATTAGCCTCTATCTAGGATCGAACTCTGAACTATTCTAACTTTCTCTGCCCTGGTGCCTTTCAGTGTGTTAGACTGCAACTTTTGGCAAACTTCCCTTTCTCCTCCTACCTGGTAAACATACCAGGCTTTTTACTTTCTTATTACAGCTTACAATTACCGATTTTTCATAGATTTCCCTGGGTTTTTCTTGATGGTTTCTAGATTCGGTTGATGGGGTCAGAAAGCACAATGCTCATGTGTAGGTGGAAACATAAGAAATAATACACACAACACAAAGATGGACATTTGATCATGCCAGCATGACTTTTTTTTTTTTAACCATACTATTCCCTGAATCTGGAAATTCCCAATTGATGTCTATCTCAGATGATATCAAATGTAGATACTGTATGTATGACTTTTGGAATTGGGTCTTTACATGCATTTTGGTTGGGTAATGGGACATGGCTAATGAAAGAGAAAAGGAAAGACAGCATGTTGCAGTATTGTACAGTTCTTTCATATACAGTCATCATCATCTTTTAATGACCCCATAATCTCTGGCGGGGTGGAGTCTGGGCAACTGAATGGAGCTGAGTGATTACTGGCCAGATGCTCTTCCTGTCGCCAATACAGAGTTATATTTAGCAGATATATTCTCATCATGCTCAGAGAGACAAATATCTGCCCCTACCTAGGATCAAACTCTTTCATATACAGTATTCCTATTAAATATTGATGTGAGCTATAACCTAATCTGGAAAGCTTTAAATCAATATTCTTTATAAGATAAAGACAATTTGCCCTTGAAATACAACATCCAGCATTGTTGATAGTTTTAGACATCTCATTATCTTACAACGGTTAAAGAAACATGCTATAATATTTTTGTTTGTCAGCAGAATACGGTAGAATTTAATATAGTAAAATATAAAAGCCACAATAATAAATAACATAAAAACAAAACTACTAACACTGGCAAAGGGAAGATAAAAATGGCCCCCTCAGCAATGGAGCCAGCTCTTTAGCTCCAGATCTGGCAGCATAACCAGTTCTTGAGGGCCTGTGTGTCAGGTTTTTCCAGCCGTTTCTGTTTTAAATTTGGTGAAGAAAAAACCATTCTAACAAAGCACATGGCTAGCACCAAATTTAAAACAGAAACGGCTGCAAAAGCCTGACACACAGACGAACCCAATACACAAGCCTGATAATGGCAGATGAGATTCTGCCGAAACATTGCTACAACTTTAAAAGCACAACTACAATGACGTGGGAAAATACCCGAACAAAG